AATGAGTGACTTAGTATTTTAACAATCCAGATGAACTGCCATGATAGTATTGCTTGTATTTTGCTTTTTTTTTTTATTAATTCAAAAATAAAAGGTTGTTTGCAACCTGGGTCTTTTTTGTGGTTTCAGATATCATTTCAGTTTGGATAACATTTCAACTTCTGATGTTATTGATGAGACGGGAGATGCAAAAGAGCTGCTTATCAATAATTTAGACCAAAATCTAAAAGTCAAAAAGCCATGACCAATAAAGACAAGATATAATGAGAACATTTCAGTTATTAGCATTCATTCGAGTTTAAGTTTCCAATAATTGCAAATAATTTTCAGCAAGATGTGTAGCACTATATCTGTCATATTATCATTCAATGCTTTTGCCATCCTTACATTTGTGATCTGATTGTTTTGCCAAATGTGTGGATGACCCTACACAGGAACACGTACCCCCCCTCCTGCGTGTGGTGTGAGGGTGTCAGCACTCTGGGTTCGCCCTGCAGGGGGCAGAGGTCTTCGCCAGGGAACAGATGGTGGTGGCTGTGTGGAAGGCGGCAGGGCACCGAGGCAGCGGCACAGCAAGAACACCGTCCATTCCTGTGGCCTTGGCTGGGTGAGAACAAGCTAAATCCTGATGCAGGGCTTTTCTTCTTCCCTGCAACAAACACTGCATCACTCTTCTGGAGGGAAAAGTTGCACCCGCAGCGCAATGTGGGTGTATATTGATTTTGGTTGAATGGCTAGTCGTTGGTTCTGTAGACTGGCAGAACTATTCCGTCAGAGCTACCAATCAAAGGGTCAGTGGTATGACCCCACCTCATGCAAGTCAACATGTTGAGATGCCATGGGCAAAATACCCAACAATGAATTTCTCTCATTGGCATTTCTACGTTATTGAAGTGAATATAAGTCGCTGTCGGTTAGCCTAAACAAAACTTTGAGCTGCCGTTAATAATAATAATAATGTCATTCCAGCAACGATTTATGGATGCTTAACCATCCTTTCTCAGAAGCTATAAGTAGTCCAATGCTGTTACACTACTGCCAACAAACCCTGAGACAAGGCAGGGTCTGACTTTGACATGGTGGATGACTAAGCCCTACTTAATGTTCTTCTTTCTTTCTTCATTTTACATTGTATCAACAAGCAATGTCATCCTGCTCATAGAAATGACAGATCAGAAAATGCTTGACTGATTTAAGAAGGCAATGACAATTACCTATTAGAAAAGCATTATAATAAATTGTATGTATATGTGTTTAACATGTTTGGTTTCTATTGTGAGTCTCCATAGTTTATTGTGAGCTTAATTCGAAGGAGCAAATTTAATTCAATTAAACACAACTTTATGTATAGTGCACTTTGTATACATTATAACATTCAAGGAAATGTGCTTTACGTTAACAATACATATACAAATGGAACAAGTGCAGAATATACAAGACATATTCACACACACACACACACACACACACACACACACACACACACACACACACACACACACACACACACACACACACACACACACACACACACACACACACACAAGTCCACATGTAGACACACATACACACCCTTATCCATACTAGGGCTGTCAGTCGATTAAAATATTTGATCGCGATTAATCGCATGATGCCCATAGTTAATCGCGATTAATCACAAATTAATCGCACAATTTTCATCTGTTCTAAATGGACCTTAGAGGAATATTTTTCAAGTTCTTAATATTCTTATCAACATATGAGTGGACAAATATGCTTTATGCAAATGTTTGTTTATTATCATTGGAACAATTAATATTATATCTCCTGAATATTTTCAATACAACAACCTGGAACCTCTCTCTCTCTTACAGTCTCTCCCAACCCTGTCTACTTCTTGTCACTGAGCCAAGAAGGGCTATAGATGACTTTGTCCACATATCAGGNCCCTTTTAAAGATTTGCAGTGTGTGGGCTAGCGAACCCTCCTGTTCCTTTGGATGACAGCTTGCGCATCGACGCACTCCGTGAAGGTATTTCCTAGTTCGGTGTGGCATTTGTTTTTGTATAACCTTCTTGTGCAAGTGACCAATTTTGTCTTCTCTGTGAATTGTTTTTTCGCCCGTTCTTTTGGCCATTTTGAGATTTACATTTATAGCGCGAAAGTAAACCAGGAAGTGTTTTAGCACACCACGTGACGCATCTGAACGAAGTAACGTTGTCAGAAGGTACACCAGCCATGAGATCTTAAGTTTTCTTGGTTTAAGACCCTTTTTACTTTCACATTGGTTGCTTGACACAAGAAATTACCATATTGGGATCCGATGAATTGTTGCAAGGAGAGACGGAAGCTTTCCAACGATTCCATCTGATGACATGGGCAAACACGGTCGCGGTACTTTATGTTACGTTAGAATGGCTAACTTTGGGAATTAGGAGAATATTACAAGAAGCAAATAGACAAAACTATAGTAAATAAAACACTTAAAGTGTATTTGTACAGTTTCCTTCAAAAGCCGAAAGAAAACATATTATGAATCAAATAGGCACAAACATCTCAATATCTTACCAGTGCAGAAAACGTGTTTTTGCCTGCCGTGTCTCGCCTTTAACAAACAATTTTATGCGGCTCGTAATCGCTGACAGCCGTCCCGCCGGGCACGCCTGTTTCTTCTGTTTTTTAAGCGGCTCCCTCCCCCTTTGGCAGCACCCCCTGAGCAAAAGATTTCACGGCTATGCTTCGCCTCTTTCTATTGGACTAGCACTCTACCACATACTTAGTAGGCAAAAAGGGAGGGACATTACAGACACATCTCTAAGGCCCCAATTTCACGGAGACGACCGAAAATGAACCGAATTTCGATATCAAAAACAAGTCTTCCATCCGCATGGCTCAACAAACGTGCCGTCACATTGAAAACGCTCGAACCCACTGAGACGCTGTTAGTACTACATTATGCCGGGCTGTAATGCGTGTACTTTCCGCCAAAAATAACACCAAAAGCAGCAAGAAGACCTCCAAGCATGGTATGGCCCTTCTGTTTTTCGACGGTTTCAAATGTCCGTAAAGTTAAATCTTTCCGACAAAATTTGAAAAAAGTGCCGGTCAAGTCCTTTCTTTTGTTATTTATTGAGCTTTAAAACAAATTGATAACGACTATATAATTAATATAAGAATAATAACGGAGAGAGTCTCTCTTTCCCTCACCTCTCCTGACAGCCGTCATATCCGTCTCCATTTTGCAGCTGGCTGATCAGTAAGGAGTAACCCGACAGTAAAAATAAACATATTTATAACTAGTTTAGGTAGTTTGAGAGGTAATTAAAATAGCTAAGGGTGATGATCTAACTTGAAGTGTGTGTTTTGCTCCGCTCACCGCTCAATCTCAGCGGGCGGAGCTGCAGGTGATCATGCAGAGCTGCGTGTCTCCGTCAGCAGCAGCTGATCTCTGATCTCTCTCTTCGGTCAGATTAAACTTCACTCGCGTTTATGTCCATATCGATCAAATCTAGCTGGAGGCTCCTGCTGGGTGCACTGTCCTGCGAGATACCGGGACGTGGGACGTGGCTCGAAACACTCGGTTGTTGTTGTTGTTGTTGTTGGCGAAACACATCAGCAATGATGCGGGTGACACAGGGGTGAGCAGGAGAGGCAGGGCTATGGCGTATAGGGCATACACACGGAGCCGTTTGGCCCCCCAGAGCGTTCCGTCCACAGATCTACCCACTTTGGGGCCCGTTATCGTTTGAGGGCCCCGTTTCCGCGGTTCCGTTACGGCCTCGTGTGAAGGAACCGTCCATACGATAGAGAACTGTACCGGATAACACCCGTTCGGTCCCCGTGTAAACAACGCCTAAGCTGTTGAGCAATCACAACAGAGCCGGCCAGCTAACCAATCAGAGCAGACTGGGCTCTGGTTTCAGACAGAGGGTGAAAAGAGGTGCTGCAGGACAGGCAGTATGAGAAAAATAATGAGCTTTCTGAACATTGAAGCGAAAACGAGCATAGGGCCCCTTTAAAATTCCAAAGGAACAAATGCGGATGTAAACATCATCAAAAGTACATCTCTCCTAAACACCGCTTTTTGTTTTTTTGTAAAAACTCAACTTGATTAGCACGTCAACAACAAATCAAATGTATTAGAAATAAGAAGGGAAGTAGTGCTTTCAATTGATTGACAACTCAATAAACAAAGAGTTAAATAGAGCAATGTAATTGATTAATGGTATGTGGCTGCAACTATTGTTTGTTCAAGTAAAAATCTGACTCATTAACTAGGCTTTTCCCTCAAAAATTACAATAGAAAGAATATTCTTTGTTATAGATTAAATGTTTATCTTTTCATTTAGTCATTGGTCAAATAAAACATGTGATTTAGGACTCTTAGAAATTACATTGTCAGTTGATTTCTGACATCTTACAGACTAGGGCGGAAAGAAGTAGTTGGATGATTGAGAAATATTTGGTATAACTACTTATACCAATATCAATAAAGTGTATGAGGTCATGAAAGGCAATAACACCAAACTATTGGAGGCCCTGGTTCTGACTTTTTAATTGTGAGGGTTTTCCTGTCTCATGAGATGGAACATAAATAAATCATTTGAAGTGTTTCTCAGAAGGGAGCATGTCCTGCTTTTCTGGCGAGATAGGGAGCTAATTATGTTTGGGTTTTCTAAGGTCGGTCAGGCAAAGAAAGCTTTAAAAAGCTGTGATTTGCATTTTTCTAAAGTTTCTGACATTTTATAGACTAAACAACTATCCAAAAATTTAAATTAATTCTGCAGATTCAGGTAAAGTAGCCTAGTTGAGGCCCTAGTTGGACACCATTACAAATATAGACATGTATTTAATCAGTATAAAAGAAAATGTTGCTAATATTTATTACGTCAAAGTAAGATGCTACCAAGACAGTATCATCCTTTGTTGGCTCAGCTTTCAGAAAATATGTTGTTATTGAGAGTGCTCTGATGTTTTTTTCCTGAAATCCTGTTTCTCCTGCAGAGTTGTTCTTCTTGTTTTCAGCGCTTATCCTGTCCACTATCTCTGACAGTGTCCACCAACACATGCTGCCCTCTCTGACCTGAACCTGCCTGAGCACATTCATCAGACATCGCTGAGGAGGAATCTGTCCAACTTCAGGATGCGTATTGCCTCCAATCTTCTTCCATCTTTAAAACAGCTTGCTGCTGTCAGCACATTTCTGTCCCCCCCCCCCACCCCCCCCACCTCCCCTGTCCCCCTCAACCCCTGCTGAAGCATGGAATCTGCCTTTTATTCTGCCCTGACAATATTCTGCTCCACCTGACAACTTCAGTTAGATGCCTCTCCACCTCCGCGCTGCCCAGCAGCCATAGAGACAATACCGAGATGCTCTTTTTCCCAGAAAATCACCTCCTTAGCAAAATCTTTCCAGCAGCACTGACAACTAAATGCAGACTTTTTCCCAGGCTGCCAACAGTCTCAGTGTTTCAGCTCAATAACGTCATGCACCTGCAATGTGCTCACTCTTTCCAAACTCAGGCTGATTACTTTATTTGCAATAGGCTAAAAACTTAGTGTAAGAACCATTTAGGTGTGTCATTATGTATAAATGTTTATGTTGGTAAGACAGTTGTGGTATTTAGTAACAATTAATTACAATTATAGCGTTTTGTGCAATTTTGTATGCATCTATGTTCCTTGGCCATAAATGGTAATGGAGTTTCTCTCCCACACTCATTGTGCTAAATCAGTATTTTTACTTTTTTCGCTTTGAGTACATTTTAATGATAATACTTGCTTACTTTTAATTGTAATGAATATTTTAGTGTTTGCCATAGGCTTCATTTATACTGGGGATGCTGGGGACACTTTTGGAAGTGGCCAATTGTGTCCCCAGCACTTTGCATTAGGATCATTTGTTTAAATGTTCTGAAAATAGCGTGCACAAAGCATTGTACACTTTGAGAAAGCTTTATTTACACAAGAGAACATGTGCAATCTGGAGGAGTATTCACACTTTTTGGGTGTATTTCTGGTAACCCAAGTGGTGCAGTTTGCACCTGCTACACGTTTAATATTATGAATAACTGAATGGAGAATAGTAAAGCAATTGTTGCTCCCGCTTTGCAGCAGCCTAGCATAGTTACTGTACTAGTTTAAAAAAGCATTGCAAGCATATGGATGTACACATGTATTGTTTGCGGGGGCGCTTAATGCAGTAGTGTTTTTTTTTTAAAAATTGGAATAAAGTGTCCCCACCACTTTTTCTAACAAAGTGACGCCCATGATATTTGCACTTTTACTCAAGTAAAGGATCTGAGTACTTTTTCCAACACTGCCCGAGTGTCCCACAAACTCCTTACCTTGATCCTGGGCATGGTGACGGTGGGGGGTCTTGCCTTGGCCACGAAGCTGTGTGAAGAGCCCCTCTCCACCAGGTGTCGGGTGTAGGGCATGTACATGCGGCCATTGGGTCCAAACACAAAGTCCTCCCGCAGAGCATCCACTAACATTATAACCACCCTCTTAAACAGGGGCTGTGGGAGGCGGGATGAGTTGGGAGAACTTCCTGTAATAAAAAATGAAGTTTAAGAGTTTTGAAAGATGACCAACACACATGCACACACGCAGGTGAGTGTGTGTGAGCTCACCTGTCAGCGGCTCCACGGGCAGGTCTGACAGCTTGTTCTTGGATGAGACGGAAGACTTGAGAGGGACGGGGAAAAAACCCCGCAGAAAGAGGGCCACGCCAATCCCCTCAAGTATTAAAATGAACGAGGCAAACACGGACGAGCGAACTTTCATGTTGCTGTTTGACGGACACTTAAAGGGACGGGTTTGTTTGTAAAGATGCTAGCTAGCAAACATGACGCTTTCCACACACTTTACCCAAATATAGGTGAAGATAGAAAGCCATAACATCCCATTTTAAGATGGAAGTACTTTGAAACAACGTATTACAAAGCCACCTAATTCGGTTTTTAATAAACGGACTTTAGATTATATATTAATGGCTGAAATTAACAATAAAAACACTAATACCAGTTGGCGCTGTAGCCGTTCATAGTCGCTTCCGCATTGATAGCATGGAACTACGGGTAACACGTAGGGTCAAACAAGATCGAAACGCCTTTTTCTAAAGAACAATTTAGATGTATGTTAACCTGTTCCACTCCTTCGTGTGGTCCATACAGAGAGTTCACTATTGTGTATGGGTGCCTTCTATACACACATAACACGTAAAAAAAAATGGTCCTTATGTATTTATATTATTATTGTGAATTCATTATCCACTAACCCAGAGTGTGATTTTGGTCTCACTGGAAAGGATTTTTTTAGGCTTAATGTGTCAGTACTGGTCAGTACCCAACTCTCAAGAATTAACCTTCATAAACCTCACATCGGACGTTTAATTCTCCAACACACAATATCAATATAATAATAATATCTGTTCTTGTACATATCATATTCTATTTACATATAGACTTTGTGCACTACTTTTTATTTTGTATTTTATTATATATGTTGCATTGTTGGAGGAGCTCAGGTCAGAAGAATTTCATTGCTATTTCTACACTGTAGCTTTGTGCATATGAGAATTATAGAACCTTTTAAATGCAAACCCTTAGATAAAAATAAAATAAAATGAGATATTTCCTCCAGTTTTGACAATTTATTTAAAACACTTTATTCACAAATTAATCATGACTGGCTAAGTAAGTACACACCAAATCCATCACACAGCATTAATTAAGTCAATTAATGATATGTTTTCACTTTATATTGCGCTTCCATCTTCTCTTCTTCTCACTACATTTCCCGATTCAGCTTTTTAGCTTCTTTCCTCATCTCCTCACACAAAAAGACTTCAGAGAATAAAAGTGAACAGATTAGTAATTCATCATTACATTCATTCTGATTTAAACATTAAATACATTGATATTTACCTTTTGCACGAGATCTTGAGCTTCATACTGCCCTCTCATCTCCTCTCCTCTCTCTAAAAACAAAAAGGAAAAATATGTACTGTAGGTCTTCAAATAACTTGTAAACAGATGAGCTGAACTTCCTGAAATCTGGTAATAATATTAGATAACTTGGTTCTTACCTTTTTTGCATGAAAGGTCACACTTAATTCTGCCTCCCACCTCCTCTCCTCTCTATAAGCAAATGTCAAATTACATTAAATAGTTAAAAAGTTTAAGAATAAACACATTACCCTGAAATGTGGAAATAACATTTAACAATTTCATTTATATCTTTTTACTGTGACGCACTGCTCCCCCCACCTGGGTCCTCTTCTTCATCAGAAGCCGGATGCTCTTCTTCACAGGGACGTTCCCTACCGGCTGAGCCTCCCAGGGTGCAGCAGGTTCAAGAGGCTCACGGGGGGTCTGGAGAGAGGAGCTGCTCCTCTGCGGCCTTCTGAGGGTGATCCTGGTCGGATGAGCTGTCGGCACAAGAGACCAGAAGTTAGAGGAAGAGCGAGAGGAGGAGGAGCTAGAAAAAGACAGAGAGAAGGAGCGAGAGGAGGAGCTAGAGGAAAAGCGTGAGGAGGAACGAGAGTAGGAGCGAGAGGAGGAGCAAGAAGAAAAGCGAGAGGAAGAGCACAGAGACGTGCCAGAGTCAAGAAGGGAGCCATGAGGTGACCTGAAGAGCCAAAGTGAGACTTACCTGGATCTTCAGCGACTCTCTCGCTCCACCTGCTGCCAGACTGCTCCCTCCTCTTCATCAGAAGCCTCAGGTTCTTCATCCTCTTCCGCTCAGGGATGGGGCCAGCTGGGGGGCCATGGTGGGAGCCAGGGGAGGAGCGGCAGATGGCCCTAAAGGGGGAACAAGGAGAAGAGTTATGTTCAGGGGCAGGTTCAGCTGGGGAGCCAGGCGGAGCTGGGACGGGCGGGGTCTGGCAGGATGACAGTTGTCCACTTGTAGTGCCGGTCCATCTGAAGATGAAAATAAAAACAACAGTCAGACCACTTCTCCACATCATGTTAACTATAGTATTATACCATAATGACTCTAATCACATGTTGAATCAAAAGGATCAGTATCACAATGCAAGTGGGGTGATTACAGATGAAGCTTGAGAAAAACTTGAAAATCGTTGAGGTATACTAAAATACATTTATATTGTGCAATTTTCCAAACTCACATTGGTTTATCATACAGCATCTCTGTGTAGTATGTGTATTCACTCTCTGTCCTAAACGTCTTGTTGGAGCTCCTGCCACCCCCCCCTCCCTGTGAGCCCAGTGGCCGTCTGCGAGACACACAGACTCACAGCCTCGCCGCGTCCCGCTGTCTCAGGCTGAGAAATCGGCGGAGCTGCAGCTGAGAAAAGATTGAGTGTGTGTGTGTGAGGAAGTCCGGATTGGTCCATTTGGACCATTCCGCGGACTTAATGTAACGGATCAATCCGCGGAGCCGTTAAGTTACTGTACCCATGAAGAAAAAGAGAAATCTCCAACGAGGCATTCTGGGGCAGCATAGACAGGTCTTTTCTCTCAGCCTTCTTACAATGCAGACTCTGCTTTCTCTTGCCTCTGCTTACTTTTTTATCCTGTTTTTCTATTATTTTTCAAAAAGATTCGAGCAGCGGCTCCTGTACATTAACTTATCACTGGGACAGTTATTCTTCGTAAATAGACGGAGGGTTTCAGCCATATTTCAATATTTTTACGACGACCTCAGTCTTACAGTGGCGTGGCCTAGCAACAGCCTGGTACAGCATGCTATTTAGCTTCAGCTAGTTGGCAGCAAAATGCCTCCGTTTTCTACAGATGACTTCCAAAAACTTCTACAGAAGATGGCTGTGTTGGAAATGAAAATGCAACGGTTGGAAGTTAACATGGAAGTGAATGGACTAGGTTGGAATGACACCACTTTACCAGTGTTGCAAAAGAATGGACAAAGGCATGCTAACTCAAAGCTAGTTAGCAGCTACAAGGATTCCAAGGAACAGGAGGGCAGTGTACTGGGTAATAAACCAGATGATGATTCTGATGACCTGGATAACCTGCCCTCTTCACACAGCAGGGTAAGGACCAATAGCTACTCCAAAAGTAAAAGGCTAGAGGGAAAGCTAATGACTGGGCCTGAAACTCTGATTGTGGGTGACTGCTGTAAGAGATGTAAAAAGTCTGTGTAGTAAGAACAACACCAAAGTACTGTTTTCCCAAGGATATGGTCTCTGGCTTGGCTGAGAATATCTTGTATATTGGGGCTGAACATCAGACTGTAAAAAATGTGATACTGCACATTGGAACAAATGATGTTATGAAACAACAGTCAGAAGTGCTGAAAAAAGACTTTAAATGTTTGTTGGAATCTTTCAGCTCTCGAAATGCAGAGGTGTTCATCAGTGGCCCTCTACCGCCAGTCAGAAGAGGAGTGGCGAGATTCAGCAGACTGTTTGCACTGAAAACCTGGCTTTCAACTGTCTGTACTGACCATTCTGTCCATTTTATTGATAACTTTTTCTGGGACCGCAAACATCTTTTTAAGGCAAATGGAGTTTGCCTGAACAAGTCAGGAGTGAAATCTTTTATCTCTAACATATTCAACTGCCTGCATCATCACTCTGTTCCCTCTGCCAAGGACAAGCAACAACAGGAATCAAAACAAGAGAAAGACACAACACATCACTCAGAAAACCTTGAAAATCTATCACTGCACCCGCCTGAGGAATGTCTTGATTATGGAATGGAGGAGTCTCCACCGCCTTTCACCCCCCTTACACCTCTGAGGATACTCTTCCTTCACCCCACAGCTCTCTCTACTCTCCGTTCACCCTTTCCCCTTCGCCCACCTTCCTGGAGATCGCTGAACACATGAAGGAGATACAGAGGGTTGGCACCGATTCCTTCCTGGAGTTCAATGACCAAACTAAAGCGATGCGCAGGGTTGGCAGCATGTCCTTTACCCCCGCTCCTCAACGACGCCCATCAAAATCACCGAAGCAGAGACGCGCACCACCTCCCCCGTCTTCGTCACCGTGCCTACGTCAACCACCTCCTTCCCCTGGACGCGCACCAATACCCCCATCACCATGCCTACCACAATCATCCGGACCAAAACTTCCTCCCCCCCCTTCAAGACTGCTGTCTCCGAAGCCTGATAAGAATGTGTGTGTAAAAAACGCAAACACTGACTGATATATGCTGGGTCCAGGCTCAAGGGTGTATGGCACTCAAGTCTTTCCAGGACATGCCGGGGCCCTGCCTGCTAGTAGCTTTGCCAACATCTGTGTTGATAGGTAATAGATTAAGAGCGGTGAATCATCTTAGAAACAGGCAGTGGCGTTTTTATATGAACAAAAGTGGTGGGGCACAGAAAACTTAGATGTCTATATATACAGCTTCTACAGTGAGGTTCATGGCTGGTGAGGCACTGGGACTGACTCTAAAGGTTTACACATATAATATTTTGACCTAAATCAAAATATAATATTATTTTCAAAAGCTTTTTTTGTCTGATGCTTCAATTAATTTCAAACAGACAGTTCAACAAATGGATACCCAAAAAATGTAATTTTATCATTTATATATTGAATTGTTCTCTCTTAGTAAGATCCCATTTTCAATAAAATTGCGGTCTTACCTTGACTTGAAGATGAAGTCCATTTGGCTATCTGGACAAAAATCTCTATTACTTGTTTGTAAAAGTCCTCCTTATCTTCTTGTAGTTTCAAAAGTCTATCATAAATCTAATCGATAGATTTATGATTAGAAAAAATTATAAAAGTACGGTAGACATGTGGATATTATCCGGCTGAACAAAACGTGCATTTATCTAACAGGTACGTTTCCCACAGATCTTATTTTGAGCTATTTTCTAAAATCCTATGGAGAAATCTCATTGCTATTTGTGGAGGGAACCCATGCGCAGCTTACTTCCTGGTTTTGGGACGCATCTCTCTCCTCCTCTTCACACACCACACTTTTCGCGGCACACGTACTTACAGCCAATCAGCTCTGAATGATGTGAGATGACGTATGGTGGGGATGGCAGCTCACTGCCCCTATGGTCATTATTTTTTTGCCACACANGTGTGTGTGTGTGTGAACATAGCTGATGTGTTTGTTCATATAGATTAGAGCCTCAAAGAGAAGCAGCATCAAACCGAGGGGGACTCTGGGTCTCTCCCCCCCTCTCCAGCTCCATCTCCATCTTTTTCTCCCCTCTTTTTTTGCCATCTCTCCATCCTCCCCTCATGCCAATCTCTCCCTAACCTCCTTTGTTCTCCGCTTGTCGGTCCATTCTTCTGCCCTGCTTAGTTTGGCCTGCTTCACTCCGCTTAAATCTATCTCCTTCCTCCCCCTCCTCCCCCTCCTCATCCTCCCGTGTATCTCCTCATCCATCCAAATCCGTCCTTCCCTTGCTTAGATTTTTCTTCGACTACTCTTCCTTCTTTCATCTCGCATTCCTTTTTCTGCATCTGTCCATCCTCATCCTTCATTCTGAGTGACCGCTGGTCCCCCAGGCGGTGAGCACTTCAGACTGGCAAAGCTCTATCTTTCTTCCATCACCCGCCACCTCCCCTTCCCTCCCTCCCCCCCTCCCGCACTCTCCATCTCTTTCACTCGCTCTTTCGCTGCTGGCAGCATTGGCAGCATGACAGTGCTTTCCCAGGGCAAGGCCTTATGTAAACAACCCCACAGCACCAAGCAGTGTGTGTGTGTGTGTGTGTGTGTGTGTGTGTGTGTGTGTGTGTGTGTGTGTGTACATGTGTGTGTGTACATGTGTGTGTGTACATGTGTGTGTGAGGGAGTGTTACATTTTTGACTGTGTGCTTGTGAATAGAAAAAACCAAAGAGAGGGAAAGAGTGCATTTGTGTGTTGCATCATGTGTCATCAGTGTGTGTAATGTGTGTGTGTGTGTGTGTGTGTGTGTGTGTGTGTGTGTGTGTGTGTGTGTGTCAGAAATGCCTTCATAGCTGTGGAGGTCACAGTCGCTTAAGTCGCTGATAAAGTACACTGATAAAGGTGGATCTCTCTGTACCCACCTTCTGAGAAAGTGAAGCACGCTCGCTCGTGTTTCCTTTCTTTTATTCCGCGGGCGCGTTCTGCCGATTGAAGATGATACGCCGCCTGCCGTTTGATTGGTTGACAAAGCTGTCTTTGATTGGCCCTCCCCCGGGCCCGTCCCAGCCACGCTCTCGG